GATACATATTGATGCCCTTATGCTTTGTAGCAAGTTTGAGCTAATTCCAACTTCAATTTTTCTAGTTATGGCCATTCCGAAAAATGGCTCCAAAATCACCCCCAATTTTTATTACGGTTTCTGATACATATTGATGCCATTATGCTTTGTAGCAAGTTGGAGCTAATTCCGACTTCAATTTTTCAAGTTATGGCCATTTTAAAATCCCAAAATTTGGAAAAATACCCGAGGCTATTATAGCCCATGGTTTTTCCAAAAAATGGTTCCAAAATCACTCCAAATTTTTGTTACATTTTTTGATGCATACTGATGTACTTATGCTAGAAAGTTTGAGCCGATTCCGACTTTAATTTTTTCAGATGGCCATGAGGCAGAAAACAAATTGCCAAAAAATTCTTAGTTTTTTTCCAGTTCATCAAAAGTGAACCAAATAAAAGCAATTGATGAGGTACAGGACCTTACATGTACATGTATGAATGAGAATAATTTTTGATTTTAAAAATCTAGAACCATCTACTCTATGGTCTATCTATCCCTCAATTAACTAAAGTTAATTGAGTTTAATTTGGCAAATTTGGTGATTCCATAGCCATTTGTCAAAATTAAATACACCATTTAGCACATGCTCAATGGCACATGGCCACAAATTCCCCAAATTAAAACTCGCCAATCACCAAAATTTAGCAATTTGCCAAATTTGGTCCCTCTGAAACTTCCTAAAATTAATCGTATCAATTTATTGAGTTTTTTTATTAGTTCAAAATTTTAGCAAGAACTTTTAGGGTTAATTTAAGCCACACTTTAAACAATTATTTGCAAATACACATGTACATGCACATGTAGCTACGTACACCTCATGCAATGAAGATACATAACTTAAGTTATCTTTTACATTCTCAGTCAGTGACCTTTACTACTGGTTGTTACAATTAAGGAATATGTACTATCATAACTTCCTGTAGTCACAAGACTATAGAAATAGAATTTTCCAAGACGTCATCAGGGCTTTTTTTTCCTGGCTACTTTCATTCTTTTTCATTCTCACTTCTTCATTTTCTTGTCCTTTGTTCTTGCTTTATCTTCATATACTGTCTGCCTCTCTTTATTTTCTGTTCTTGCTTTACGTTCTTTTTTTGAAATGGCAACCAAACCATCTTCTGGTCTCAGACTCAAACTCGAGGAGCGACTCACCTGTCCTGTGTGTCTTGACCACTATACCAACCCTAAGACTTTACCTTGTCTACATTCATTCTGTCATCACTGTCTGGAGAGATTACCATTGGATAAGAAAAATGAGACCTATTACCTCTCTTGTCCCACTTGTCGTCATTGTATAGAGTTACCAGAAGAAGGGATAGGAGCCTTTCCTGTAGCATTCCACCTCAACGACCTTAAAGAGATGTACAGTCTAACAAAGAAGACAGCTGATTTATCAAATCCTCAAGAGGCCACATGTAGTGATCATGGAAAGCCTTTTGAGCTATTCTGTGAAACATGTAATACAGTAATCTGTGTTACCTGTCAATTTCGTGATCACAAGCATCATGAATATGACTTAATCACTGACAGTTATACTAAGCACTGTCAAAAGTTAAGAGAATGTCTATCACCAATTGAGAGAAAGAAAGAAGCACTAAAGAAGGTCCTATCTGCTGTAGCAGAGAGAGAGGGTGAGATCAGAAAGAGAGGAGAAGGAGTAGTAGAAGAAATACAGAAAATGGTAGAGGAAATGATAAATGTTCTTCGTCAGTCAGAGAGGAAGCTGACTGAGCAGGCAAAGAGGGTCACTGATGATAAACTAAAGGTGCTTTCAGAGCAAATGAAATCAGCAGAAATGAGTTTGAGTCTTCTGGAGGATGTTGAGGGTTATGTGGAGCAGAGTCTGAAGACAGGCTGTCCTCAACAAGTCCTGGGGTCTAAGAAACAGATGATGGAGCGTATGAATGAAGTTACTGCAGGGATCAATGTGGAGGAGCTACATCCAAAGGAAAAAGCTGACTTTGTATTGAGTAAAGATATCAAATCGCTACATCACATCGGAGATATTATTTCAGGGACTACTGCACTACAGCAGTGTAGAGTGAAGAAGATTGATGTTATTCGCAAAACAGTTTTGTTTTCACTATCAATAGAGGCACCAGATTCGTCTATTTTATCTGTTCCCGTCTCTTCTCTGAGGTGTAGTCTAGTACCACTTGGTAAAGGTGATCAACCCATTCACACTACAGTCATTACCGCCAGCACTGATCCTGGAGTGTATAGGATACAGTGTAACCCTTCAACACGTGGTACTCATACAGTAAAAGTACAAGTATATGATATATTCCTTGAGGATACCTCATTAGTCATCCCTTTCAATCCTTACCTTGATAAAATCACTCCAGTACATATTATAACTGAGTTTGAGCATCCCTGTGGAGTTGCTGTTACTGATGATAATCATATTATAATAACTGAGAATTGGAGTCATTGTGTAACAATACTGGATAGAGAAGGAAAGAAAGTGAAATCATTAGGAGGGAAAGGAGGAAGTGGTAATGTCAAGTTTTCTTCCCCTCGTGATGTAGCTATTACTCCAGACAAATTTATTCTTGTGTCTGATAATCATAGCATCCAGAAGATAAGTATGGATGGACAACGAAAAGCATCAGTTGGTAAGGAGGGCAGTGGACCACTACAATTCAATAGGCCTTATGGTATAGCCACTTCTCCTATAACTGGACAGCTTTATATTGCTGACAGTAATAATCATCGTATACAAGTCTTGAATCCTAATCTAACTTTCTCTCATTCATTTGGTAGCATAGGATTAGCTAATGGACAGTTTCAGTATCCACATGACGTTGCTTTTGATAGTCAAGGATTAGTATATGTTGCTGATTTTGGCAATCATCGCATTCAGAAGTTCTCTCCTGATGGAAAGTTTGTGGGCTGGTTTGGATTTGGTCCTGGACAGCTTATTAGTCCAAATGGTATAACAATAGACACTGCAGCTACTGGTCTAGCGTATGTTAGTGAATGGGGCAATAATCGTATATCAGTCTTCACTAGTGATGGTGTGTTTGTTAGTAAGTTTGGAAGTGAAGGTAGTAATAATGATCAGTTCAATCATCCTTATGGATTAACATTTAATGGAGACGGATTCTTGTATGTTTGTGATTTTAATAATAGGCGACTTGTTGTTTATTAAATGATCAATGTGTATTTTTCGCAATTTTAATATTATTTTATGTTTATGTCGTATACAAGTCTTGAATCCTTATTTTTCCATTTGATAGTAAGATGATTTTGATTCAATGATGAGATGATTCAAGATGATTTTGTAGCTATAAGTCATTGCAGTGTCAGAAAATTTGGCAAAAATTTTGAAAATTTTTTTTTCAAAAATTTTGAAAATTTTTTGATTCAAAAAAACTAGTGCTATGTTGTATGTATATGGTCTATCTCCCCCTCAATTAATAATGTTAATACAGTATAGCAGGGGAGTTAAATTTGGCAAATTGGGTGTTTTCATAATCATTCGCTAAAATTAAACCCCCCCCCCCCATTTTGATCCATTATATGCATACTCATTGGCACATAGTCACAAATTCGCCAAATTAAAACTTGCCAATCATCAAAATTTAGCAATTCACTAAATCAGTTCCTCTAAAATTTCCTACTGTATGGTAGTGAATCCTTACCAGTTTCCAGAGGGTCTCCATTGGGTAGTGTCACATCACATATAGTGTAGGCGTCATTCATTTGTTGTATACAGAAAGTTTGTGATAGTTCTGATATCAGCGTCCGCTGTCTTAAGTACAACTGTCTCTGAGTCTTTATCAACTGATCCCTGACAATGAGAGAGAGAGAGTTACCATACATAAACATAATACATATACATGTACATGTACATTGAACACATACACTGTAGTGACTGTACATACATTAATGTAGGTATGTGTACATGTAACTTTGATGGAGCTAAAATTTGGTGAACTGTTAATCAATTTGTGAGTTGGCTCTTTCTCTCTCATTACCTACATGTACATGTACATGTACACACATGTATACATGCATATGTACATGTACACATGTATGTACATGTATATGTGCTGGGCTTTCATTTATTTTCTCTCTCTCTACTCAAGTACATGTACGTACATTATGTACCTTCTCTGTAGGAACATTAGATGGTCTTCATCAAAGTTGGACTGCGACTTTAATAAATCACTTTTCCCATTTTTTAGTGTCGCCTCTCTTTCATTTAAAGATCCTTGCAATTTAACCAACTTTCTGTTTTCTATAAAAAAAACAATTATTATGACAAATGAAATTCTTTTTGCGAGACATTAAAACATTATACCTTTTTCAAATATTTCTCTTTTCTCTGCTAGTTGCTGTTTGAGTAATTCAACACGAACCTTTAGTCTTGAGAGCTGCTCCTTCTACAGTTGAAATAAAATAATCATTAAAATCTGAAACAACCATGATGACACATGTGTACATGTAAATTAATATCTTGTGATGGGACCAATCAGTTATACATGTAAGTGAAAGAAAATTTTACAAGTTTAGACAATAATACATTTTACAGATTTAAAATTTCCAAAATCAATTACTGTATAAGTGGGTTTTTTGAGGGAATTATATTTTGTAAAATCTACTACAATTCCAATTCGCAGATTTTAATTTCCCAAATTCTACCACGTGCGCCATATGGTACCATATTAATCCGAATCAGGAAGGAATCCACAAAAATCGCAAAATTTGTAACCCTAAAAAACCTAAAGTACATGTAATTTTGCTTTATATGCCCGTGTAAATCAGTTTAAAAATTAAATTTAAAAACTTAAAAATTTTCTCCTGCTCGGTCTTTCTCTTATGCAATATGCAAATGAACATACAATGTACAGTACATGTACATGTACATGTAACGTATATGTACACGTAGACATATTGTACGTGTACATGTACACATACATTACCTTTTTAAGAGATCCGGCCATTTTGAGTCTAGTTGCTTGAATCTCTGCTTTCTGAGTCTTCACTTTCTCCCTGAGACTAGTCAGTCTTTGCTGTTGATCCAACATCCTACAGGAACATGTACATGTATAAGTATACATGTACATGTACGTGTACATGTACATGTAAAGTGTCAATTACTATTACATCATGTAAATGTGTTTCTTCAGTAACTCAAAAATTGTGCTTTTTTCTAAAAATTGGCTTGTTTTTAAAAATGATCATACATTAAATCGTAACTTCAAAATTATTCCTCAGAATCAGCTCAAACTTCCTACACAGCATAATGACAACAATATGCACCGGAAAATGTAATAAAAATTGGGGGTGATTTCGAAGACATTTTTTGGCAAAAACCATGAGCTATTATAGACTTGGCTGTTTTATGAAATTTTGGCATTTTCTTAAAATGACTGTAACTTAAAAAATTGAAGTCAGAATCACCTCAAACTTTCTACACAGCATAAGGACATTAATATGTATCAGAAAATGTAATAAAAATTGAAGGTGATTTTGGAGCCATTTTTTTGGCAAAAACCATGGGCTATAGCCTTGGGTATTTTTCAGAATTCTAGCGTTTTCTTAAAATGGCCATAACTTGAAAAATTGAAGTCGGAATCACCTCAAACTTTCTACACAGCATAAGGACATTAATATGTATCAGAAAATGTAATTAAAATTGGGCGTGATTTCGGAGCCATTTTTTTGGCAAAAACCATGGGCCTTGGGAATTCTTCAAAATTTTGACATTTTCTTAAAATGACTTTAACTTTAAAAATTGAAGTTAGAATCAGCTCAAACTTTCTACACAGCATAATGACATTAATATGTATCAGAAAATGTAATAAAAATTGGGGGTGATTTCAGAGCCATTTTTTTGCAAAAACCATGGGCTATATATAGCCTTGGGTATTTTTCAGAATTTTAGCGTTTTCTTAAAATGGCCATAAATTGAAATTTGAAGCTAGAATCAGCACAACCTTTCTACACAGCATAAGTACATCAATATGTATCAGAAAATGTAATAAAAATTTGAGGTGATTTTGGAGACTTTTTTTGTTAAAAAACCATGGGCTACAGCCTTGGGTATTTTTCAGAATTTTAGTGTTTTCTTAAAATGGCCATAACTTGAAAATTTGAAGCTGGAATAAGCTCAACGTTTTGACACAGCATAAGTACATCAATATGTATCAGAAAATGTAATTAAAAATTGAGGTGATTTTGGAGCCATTTTTTTGAAAAAAACTATGGGCTATAGCCTTGGGTATTTTTCAGAATTTTAATGTTTTCTTAAAATGGCCATAACTCGAAATTTGAAGCTGGAATCAGCTCAACCTTTCTACACAACATAAGTACATCAATATGTATCAGAAAATGTAATTAAAAATTGAGGTGATTTTGGAGCCATTTTTTGGAAAAAACCATGGGCTATAGCCTTGCGTACTTTTCAAAATTTTGGCATTTTATCAAAATGGCCATAACTTAAGAAATTGAAGTCAAAATCAGCTAAATCTTTCTACATAGCAAAAAGGACGTCAATATGTATCAGGAAATGTAATAAAAGAGTCTCTCAATACTTACTTATTCAAATATTCCAATGAACAAGACTCACCAACCTACAAACCATACAGACACCACATGACACATGACTAATAAATACACTCACTTCTGATTTAGAAACTTCAATGAGAGAATTACGAGGAAGATACTCGACCAGTTGGTTGGTCCGACTGAAGTGAGGGGATCTTGGTAACCCACCCACCTCTGTATTACAATAGTAACCTTCAGCAGTGGCTACCACCACACTGTTTGATGGATAGTTGAGATTATCTAGTCTACCAATCTAGGAATAAAAATAAGAATAAATAAATAAATAACAACATACATGTACATGTACATGTAGTGATGGTGAAATGGAAGAGGTACATGTACATGTACATGCACATGTATAACAATAAATACATGTACAGTGTACATACATTTGGCAACTTTGTCTGTGAAAATTAATTATTTATTAATAATCTTGAATAGCATATTCTTAATTTTTACTTCTCAAACTACATGTACATTGTATATGTATAACTATGCATTCCCCAGTAGAGTAAGGTTGTTATACTAACTCACACTGACTCCCATGAATCTGTATGTACTGAGATCAACAATTTTCTCAAAGCACATCATCTCCTCTTTAGACTCACCTGTGATAAGCCAAACCTTTATCTTAAACTCTGTTATTAGAATTATTACTGTTAAAGAAATAATAGTGTCATACAGTATGTACTGTGAAAAAGAGAGAGAGGGGGAGGGAGGGAGGGAAGGAGAGAGAGAAGGAAAAGATAAAGAAGAAGGAGGAAGGAGAGAGGGCCGTAAGGAAGGAAAGGGAAAGAGAAAGAGAAAAAGGGAGGGAGAGAAATGGAAGACAGATAAACACGCGTACAGTACATGTATAAAGTATAAAGAGAGAAAATTAAGAGAGAGGGGAAAGAGAAGACTACATATACATGTACATTAGAAAAAGACAGAGGGTGTAAGTTGAGGATACTGTTAATTGTGACACTGTCTCCAAACTTCTCATATTGAAATGTGAGGGACCTCCATGTTGGATTCTATGACAACAACAACAATAATAATAACAATTATGCCAGTATCAACTCACATATGTTTCTTCAAGGACACTGCTAGTGTACAACACTGCATTAACAAAAGAGAAAGAACAACTGTAAAACTGACATACATGTATATAATGTACATGTACATGTATGGTTGTGTCACAGTAGATATTAGAGTACTCTAGTATCAATGGTAGAGTGAATGTGAAACTAGTTCACACTATTGTTCACACTATTGTCAACACTATTGGGTATTGTTCACACAACAATTGATCTAGTATATGCATTATAGTGATCAAGTGTATAATGTATCAATACTATGATGTCAAGAGTACATGTACTCTTGATTATGAGTGTATGTACTGGAGTAGTGTCATACAATAAGACCATTGAGTACTGTAGTAAGAGGAATGACTGAATATCATTATTAATGATAGACACATGAAAGACAGCAAACATATACATTGTAGGTACATGTATACAATGTAGGGATGGTACAGTATAGATAATACTAATTATTAACATAATACATGTACATACTGGTACACTTGTTTATCAGATCAATTATTGGGCGAAGCCCACTAAAATGAGTAGAGTTTGTTTGTATGTATGTACACGTACGTATTCCGTATCTCCTCTATATATCCGCACATGCCTTGCAGTTCAAAAGATTCTAAATTTCAATATTTCATTGAAAGTGGGAGTGGCCGAATGAAAATAAAATGGCGATCACCACACGGGAATCAGAAGTCATGATTTTCCTACTTCCTAGCAACAAGATAAGGCAAAAACACCGTCCAAAGACTTCTCCAACTGCTTGAAAAGGTTACAGGTGCAATTAAGGAACTATGAAACTTCTTTTTGTTGAGATAAACTGTGAAAATCAAACAAATGTCACATTTGTCACTGACTGCACTAAACTGGCCAGCCTTTTTATATCTTATGGCTATTTTAAAGTCAGTGTGGCAAGGCTTAAAGTAAAAAACAAGTCAGGAATTTTCTAGCAGCAACAT